GTACCAGAGCTATTACTGGTAAGTGCTTTGATTACCAGAATTCAAAACCCACTTTCATTTTGACATAGTAACAAAGACAAACTAACGTTTTTTGGAAATTCTAAATAAAGCTAAATCACTTTGGTGGCATGCATTTAGCTGCATTTTGTCAAGCTCTGTGCAGTTTTTGGCGGTTTTGGCACAAGAAACGTGTTTTATAACCGGTAAGAGCGGTAAGGTTATTCTTTCTTACTGTAGCTGTGGAAAACCATGTCATTGACCTTAGCGTGTTTGCTGTCTGATGGAGCCATCTCACGGAACTGGGAACAACAATTACGCGTTAAAAAACACTTTCATCACCAGCCAGGATAAAACAAAACAACTGTGTAAAAAGTGCCAGGGGGAGAGGTGAGTCATACTCTGTTGTTGTGTTTGGCCTGCTCCAGAGAGGCTGAGAAGTGGAAACAGCGACACGGCACTCCCGCAGCCTTGGCCACGTCCACGTATCTGGAAAATTAAAGAAGCAGGCCACAGTAGGAGAATATTCATTCCCCCAAACATGGCAACGGTAGCAAACATTTAGTAGCAACATTATGAAATGCACCCCTTCGGCCCGTTTAAGCATTCCAGTATCTGAGCTTATACTCTCAGTAGCTTGAATAACTACTTCTAGATGCTTTGTCTAAACCTAGTTATTACTAGTAATTACTCTTTATTTATGTAGGACTCTCTGTCTGTTTATGCTTTTTGAAGCCTGTTTATATAAAGGTGTACCCAGTGAGGTGGATCCTGAGTATATGCATATTGAGGACACACACCACACACAGAAATGCATCTGCACAGCATAATAATGATGCAGTTGTTTTACCGTTTACGAGACTCTGGGTCTGGGTTGGTGTTGTCTACAGCGACGCTGCGGCCCTCTTTCAAGCACGCTCACATGCAGACACGCAATTCTGCCATGAACCAAGTGTATCCTGATACAAAACCAACACGAAAGGTCGGTGACAACATGTCATGGAAGACTTTAAGGAAAGGGCCCAATATATATGGGAACATACCAATAAATAATTATCTTCATCATTGGTAGATTCATCATCATTGTTACAATAACGCAATCTTAAAGCAGTTATTTTAGACATTAAATATATATTTTTGTATATTAAACCAAATGTTCTGGATGCATTTAGAGCTGAGGCAGAAGTGGAACCTTGCTGACAACACCCTGTTCATTGAAACTCACCCTGTTGATGTACACGTAGCCTTTTGGAATGATGTGGGTGTGGAAGAAAGAGGATTTACCCTGTGGAGAAAGGGAGGGAGGGAAACAAGGTCAGAAGGTCAGTGGGAGGCGGGGATCATAAAAAGGTGACATTACGTCCATTTCTCTTACATGCAGGGAAACCACGGCAACAATGACTTCTGTCTTGCTGGAGATGAGAGAGGCAGAGGGCGGGTCGTACAGCCTTGCAGTGGAGTCAATCTTCCTCTAGCAGTTCAGATAAAGAAAACATTAACTAAATACAGACAGACTAAAATGCACAAATGTATTCTCATATACTGTAAGAAAAAAATTGCAAAGTCCACTGCCAGTGTGTTCATTGTACTCACAGGGTCAAAATTTGGCAGGCTATAGGGGGCGCTCTTCCAACCAAGGAAAAACTCCTCTGGGGTGTGGAACTGCAACCCAATGTTCAGAGCAAACTACAAAAACAAGTATGAAGACAGTAGCTGGTACATAATGCTCATATTTTATATGTTTTGTACACTTTTCCCCCAACAAGGCATAATCTAGAAACACCCATACTTGAGTTCTATTTAATGACATTAAGATGACACATAAAAACATTTCAAGCAAATTAGCCGATACACAACAAGTCAAGACAAGAGGAACACAAACTGGTAAAAAAAGGTTAACCAGAGTAAAAATCTTAGGTCTTACCAGTCGGTCACTGCAGGAGAAATCCTTCTTCTTCTTGCCTGGAGCCCAGTTCTCTGGCCTACCGGCAGCATCTGTGTGCAGAGGTGGTGTCAGAAGCTGTGTGTGCATGCTTGTGTGTGGCTCGTGTACTTTCTGGGGATCAACAAAAAGCAAAGCCTCTAAATTAGGTCATTTTTGTTGCATTTTGTTGCACTTTAACGAGGTTAATCTAGAGCATTTCTGGGCTTGGGGCACGGTTCGGACCAGGGCATGCTATTGGCTTTATAGTTAGGTTTAGGTCTAGCATTAAGTTAAGATTTTGGGTCATTTTTGGACTTGGGGGCATAGGATAGAACTAAACATTTGGTTTTCAAAATGTAGATGAATGCTTGTCTATGTGTGCATCTCTGTGATGCCAGGTCAGATAACTGAGAACACATAGGCACATGCAAGTATGAAATTTATCAATATGGCAACACTACTTCATACTCCACCTCACTCACCTCCTACATAAAAACTCTGTGTCTTGTCAACAGTCACACCATCATTTGCCTGAGCAGGAAACACACATGCAAAGACACAGTTAAAACTAGAATAGACTTTTATTGTCAAACATGCAAAGACAACAGTAAACAGTGCTGTGAGGAATTGAAAAAGGGCGGCTGCTGTGACTCAGCAAATTTGTGTACTATAATTTGCACTTTGTAACGTCTGCCATTGCAAATACAGCACATGAGGCGTGGTTCCATGGTGTGTCCATGTATCTTCACTGACATTTACCTTCTCACACAAGTGATTCCACATTCCCATCACTGGCTTCCTGTAGATACCAGGACCGGTTGAAACAAACACCTGAGACACAGCAGAGGAGGGAGTACTAATGTCAGTTTTTTTGTACAATAGTAAGGAGACAGGGGAGAGTCAACCTCCACCATGACCTACCTGCACAGGTAGCTGCAGCATGGTGAGGATGTCTTCAACTTTAGACTTGAAGACTTCTGGTCTCAGTTTGCCTTTAGCGATCCCATCTGGTTGGTGAAGAACACCACCTGTATGAAGACAGCGAGGTTAGACTAGGAAATCCAATGACAAACACTAGCAGAGTCACTGGATTTAGACTTGGACATTTCCATAAAACCTGTTGGCAACTGTTGTATTTAGCTCCTTCCCACCTTGTATCCTTTTTCAGCAAGTTGGCCAGTCTTGGCTGAATCTCAGGGTACAGAATCCTGGCAATTAAACACAAGGACAATTACAACAAACTAATGTAGATATGAAATGTGGTCTACAGAAGCCACTGAGCTGGAAACACTGATGTCAAATCAGAAATAGTACAGTCATTTGTCAACTTCAGGAGTTCAGGAGTGCAGACATACTTCCAGTCATCTGGAGCGGTGGGAAAGACTTTGCCAGACTGGTGGTGATGCAGCCATCTATGTCAAACCCAGCAATCTGGAGAGGATGAAAAGCAAAGGAAATCTTTACACATTTACACATGTAGATCCCTAAAGTTGGTCATGTTTATATGAAAATAAAACATGTTAACAGGACTGAAACTGCTCAGACAACTTCTGTTTAGCAGACCGCTGGTTTTTTACTTGTCACTTCCTGTGACCAATCTCAACAACAGAAATCAAAGCTGTACCCACAGTTATTATTGATTAATCTGATGATTATTTCCTTAATTACTCGACTGGTCATTTGGTATGTAAAATATATGTAAAAGATGTCCCAAGCCCGTTTTTGCATTTAAAGGCCTTGTTTAGTCCAACCAACAGTCCAAAAACCTAAAGATATTCAGGTTACAATGGTGTAGAACAGAACAAGCAGGAAATCTTTTCTGAGTCATTTTTGCTTGAGAAATGCTTAACTGATTTTCTGTTGCTCAACTAATCAACTAATAGTTGATGGGTCTGCTGGGGCAGAAATGCATTTGGGGAAAACCTGATAAAACTTCAGGTTCTTAATCAAGGTTTGCGGCGGCTTTTTAACATAAAACACTAACAGCATTTTATTATTTATGCAATAAAACATATTTTATTATGCTATTATATTATATAGTCATTATTATAATCCATTAACCCTGCTAATTTATTTGAAATGATTAAGTTGCACTGAATTAAATAAATAAAGCTGTTCTTTCCCACCTTGTTACTCCCTTTGACACCAGCAGCAGTGTAAAGCAGCAGGTTGCCTATCTGCTGCCAGCTGCTCTTTAGACAGCCCTTTGAAGAAAGTGACGACGATGAAGGCTGGGTGCTCCTCTCTGCCATAGACTTCTCTGCCAACTCCTGCAGCTGCTTGAGCTTTTCCTCTGCCAGTCTCTCTTCCTCATCCTCCTCCTCCACTTCTTCCTTTCTCTGTCTATCGGAAGCCTCTTCATCTCTTTTTTGGCGCTTTTCATCACGGTGCCCCCTCTCTGGGCTCAGTCGTCTTTTAGATGACTGAACAGAAGAATAACAAAAATACACCGTCTCTCAAGTTTAGTAGTTTGATGTCAGCTTCTCTTGATAAATAGTATCTTTGTTGTAAAAAAATACAGCATAAGCAAATAAGATACATGAAATAATACAAGTCAACACAATGACCAAACAAAATGTGGTACCTTCATGGGAGAGGTAGAAAAGAAATCCATGATACTGCGCTTGGGATTTGGACTCGACCGTGCCTCTGTTTCTTTCCCATTTCTTCCCCCCTTTGTCTTATCCGTGGCTTTTAGTCCTTTAGGTGGAGCGCTGGAGGCTGATCCGTTTGAGCTCAGGGAGTAGTGCAGTTTAAATGGATAGTTCTGGTTAACCAGATAGAGGGTGCCTCCGTGAGTGAGTTTACCAGACTGGCCACGGCCCAGCTTCTCACCGTCCAGGAAACTGGGATTGGGACCTAGCTGTGGAAGACAATAGGACATGTATGGACATTGGGCTGCAACCTTTACACAGTTACTTTATAGGATTTAAGATAACCGGGGTGGGTCTAGGCAGTAAAGAAAAAAGGTGTGCTGTCACCAAGTTTTCAGAAATAATGACATAACTGATGCTTTGACTGTGCTGTGACAAATATGAACACTCTCTGGTGTTTGATGAGTGTAGCGTGAGAGCTCCACATGGAGACTAACTGAATTAGAAACTGTGTTTTCATACCCGAGTAACAACCACATCCTGGTCTGCATAGCAAGCCACCACCTTCACTGAAAGAAACACAAGGATAATTACCATCATATACACACAGAGACATTTCAAAATGCATTTCATGATTGATTCTGTGCGCTGTATGCTTTGGGAAGAAAAAGCTATTGTTGTTTTTTTTTCATTTCAACAGATTGTATCTGGAGTGGGAAAAAAAAAGTATATCTATTTTTTTTTGTCTGCGGTTCTTCCTGGGATATCAATAAATTGCTTGTTTTGCAACAATACAGAAACCAAAGATATTCAGTGTACAATAATATAAAACAGAGAAAAGCACAAAATCCTCACATTTAAGAAGCCTGGAATTCAAACAGTTTAATTTTTGCTAGAAAAGTGATTTAAACTATTACTCAATTATAAAAAAAAGTACGTGTTGCAAGTTAATTTATCTATCTACTAATTGATCCATCCCCTAATCATTTTAGAGTCTAATCTCTAACACTGATTTATATATATTATAAAAGTCAATACTATGCGTTTCTTTGTAAGGACTTTTGGGGTATAAGGCTAAAACAGCATCCCCCTATGCTGTGTGGAGGTCTTGGATCAGTCCACGTCGAACAAGCAGGGATGACCCACTGTTTTTTAGTCCCACTCGGCAATTTCTTTAAATTATATTCCTGACACAAAGCCACCAGGGCATTTCATATATATCATTTACTATTTCAATATGAATTAAAACGGTTTGCCAGTCAACGCATCAGTTTTCTTGCGCATGCGTTTGAGACCTCGCACTGGAGCACCGGTGAGCTGACGGGTCTCGTGGTAAATTCGTCAATAAAAGACTAAAATGACCCGCATGTGCAGCATCATGAAAAGCGCCAAAGTGTTTGTGCCGGGCTTCTCCTCACCCTGGTACCTGGAGCACTTCTTGTCGGCGACCCCGGTGTCAGGACCCCGGCCCAGAATCACAGCTCGTCCATCCTCCAGAGGGACCACTGGGCCCCCAGAGGCGCTTACCAGCATACACGACATCTTAGCGGGCGACCGCAGCGAGATTGCTTTACTTGGAGCCCTAACGTTACAGTGTGTTTATGAACGACTCGTTTCATCAGATTACGAGCAGAAATACAGAAATAAAATGGTTATCCCGCGATGGTGCCTGCGTTTATTTACAGTTTGTAATGTTACTACGTTTGTCGCAACTTCTTTGTATCTGACACGGTTGCTTAAGTACAACAAGAGTAACACAAACCGTACGGGGACTTGTTTTCGCAGCGCACTCGCGGTCGGTCAGGAAAATACGCTCGTTTAGAAACGTGAACCCCTCAAAGGTTCCGCTCATAACGGACTTTTCTGGGACTTTCCAGTTATCCGGCATGATTTTATAAATCGTTGACTCTT